TTTTTGTGTTTGTTCTTCTATCTTAGTGGTATTGAAAGACTTGTCTTTCAGCTCACTGATTCTTCCTTCCATCTCATCTATTCTACTCCTCTGCCCTTTCAGAGTGTTCTCTATTTCTGCCATTTTGTTTTTGATTGTTTGGACCTCTTTCTGTAGGCTTGGCATTATTTCCAATGCTGTATCTATCTTGTTTGATTGCACTTGTAGCACTTTCCTGACTTCTTCCTTATTTTTCTTAACTTCATTGTAAAGTGTTTTGAAACATTTTATAATCATTTTTCTGAATTCTTTCTCAGGCATTTCCAGGGCCTGCCCTCCTTCCAGAATGGGGTCCAGATCTACTTCTAGGTCATTTGTCTCAGATATTTTATCTTTTTTCTGGACATGTGCTGATATGGTCATCTGCTTTTGCTTCTTGGACATGTTTAATGTTTATATGTGGCCCTAATACATAAATGAGTATGTATTTTGGTACTTTTTTATGCTTTCTGATTGCTTCCAGGAAGATGTGATCAGGGTGTGGTCTTCCCTTTTCCCTTTTCTTATTGCTTAACTCAGAGTAACTTTCACAGGTGTTGTCTGTTTCCCTGGTATATGTCTGCTGGTATTGGTTCTTACCTGGGTTTTGGTGTTTTTCATTTAACTTCTTGAATGGCTATCTTCTCATCTTTCATGGTACTAGGGAAGTTTTCTTCCAGCAACTCTTGGACAGTTTTCTCTGGTTTTGTTTGTCTCTTCCTGTTCTGGAATTCCAGTCACACATAAGTTATTCCTCTTCATGATGTCCAACATAAATCTCAAGCTTTCTTTGTTTTTTTAATTGTTTTTTTCTGATTATTTCTCTCAAATATTATGAGTGTTGAGAGATTTGTCTACAATGGATTCAGCCTTCCACTGATTTTGTTTTGCCCTTTTAATGTGTTATCTATTTCTAAAGTTCTTATTATTAGTCTTCTGGCTTTCTAATTGCTGTTTTTATATGGTTTCCAGTTTTTCATTTAATTTGTTCTTACATTATTTTCCTGAATTCTCCCTTGCTTTTGTTGGTCTTCCTCTCAATTCATTGAAGGGACCTAAATAACATACTTTTAAATTCCTTATCAAATAGTTTTGATTCCATTTCTGATACTGTATTTTCTGACTTTGTATTTTGATCACTTGTTTGAGGCATTCTGTCGTATGAACTGAAATTGTCTGTTTTCTCTGAGACATTGTGGGGTTGTAATATTTATACTTAAGTGATGATTGTATGTGAGTGTGTTCTCAGCACTCACCACCTGTCTCCTGGAGGATATGGTAGAGACTTGAAGGAAGGCACAGCACAGTTCTCTGTTCTCTGTCTGTGTAGCCTAGTTCAGGGCGGGTTCCTGCACCTCCAGAAGGACAGAAGCAGGAGGGGGTGCCACTGGCCATTGTGTTGGTGATGGCAGGACTGGCCTTGCCTGGGCTACCAGGAGGACGAGAGAACAGGGAGGACTGCACCCTGCTAGTCTCCCACCTGCAGCTTGGTCCTGTACCCACAGGTCACTATATGGGCAGCAGCTTACAAAAGCTCAAGATGGCACATGCTAATTTAAAACATATGCTTATGTTGTTGTGAGTTGTCATCAAGTCAGTTTCGACTCCTGGCAATGCCGTGTGTGCAGAGTAGACTGCACCACAGAATTTTCTTTGTTGTAATCTTAATGGAAGTAGATTGCCACACCTTTCTTCTGCCATGCTGTTGGATAAGTTCAAACCACCAACCTTTAGGTTACCAGTCAAGTGCTAACCTAAATATATGCTATTCCAGGGATCTAAACATTTATCTGTAGCATTTTTTTTTTTTTAATGAGCACATATGTTCAAAGATTTTAAATCATCTTTAGTAATAGTACTCTCTTTGAACCTTAGGTTTTTCCATGGAAATGGGGACAATATCATCCACCTCAGAAGTTTTGGAGAAGGTTTAATAAGATACAGCATGTAAAGTCCAACACAGTACCTAGTTCAATAACTGCCAGTTTCTCCTCTCTGATATTAAGGGTAGTCTGTGTAAGGGAAAGAATGTTGTATAAAGTAACCTTGGAGCCCCACGTTTCAGCATGCTTGTGGTTTCCACTCGCCCCTTTGCTCATGTACAGTCTGTTTGCTGGGCCCGACCATGGAGCCAGCCCTTGTTCTCTGCCTTCTGCTTCCCTTACATGTTGTTCCTGCACTTGGCACCATCTGCTTCTCTCTCCCCCTCCCCACCATTCCCACCAACATATAAGCAGGCTTTACAACTTTCTGTCTGAATCTACTCCTACTTCTACTGCTCTGCTTTTCTCTTCCCTTCACAGCAGAACTTCTTAGGAGAGTGGTCTTTGTTTCTTCACTTCACATTCTCTCCTCACCCCATTTCAGTTGTGCCTCTGCCTCTGCCAGTGACTGAAACTGCTTTTGCCAGAGCCATCAAATAATTTCTGTATACCAAATCCCTTGTTTTACCCTCATTTCAACTCATCGACGTTTTGTTCCTTCCTCAGATGTTTTTGTTTTCTTTTGTATTGGTGTGCACCTCACCTTCACTAAGTACTTACATCATTTATGTAGAGTGTAGTGAACTTGTCCATATCTGCACCTGTTCAGCCGTCTCCACACATGTGATACAATTGGATGAATACTCCTTTTTAAACAACTGGTAAATACATATGTAACAAATTGTTTGCTGCCTCAGTGTTCTCCATTTGTACAATTCAGTGACACTAGTTTTCAATCATGTTGTTCAATTGTTCAATCTTTACCAATTTTCATTTCTAAGTTTTCTCATCACCTTTAATAGAAACACAGTGTCCACTAAACAGTTAGTCCCCTTTTCACCTTCCTTCACACCATCCTTGTTCAAACCAAACAAATAAACAAACCCGATGCTGTCAAATTAATTCTGACTCCTCTTCTAGATATTTCATATCAGTGGGATCATACAATATTTGCCCATTTGTGACTGACTGACTTCACTTAGCTAACTGTTTTCAAGGCTGATCCACGTTGTAGCGTATGTCAGGATTTCACTTCTCCTGTAACTGAGTAGTAATTCATTGTATGGATGCACCACAATTGATGTATCAATTATATGTCAATAGATTTATCTTATGGTTTGTGTCCTCATACTTTTATGTCACTGGCTGGTTCTGTGTTGTCTCCCTTGTGCAGGCCCTTCTGCACCTGCTCTACCTCCAAGTAGAGTGCCCAGGGTTTAGTTCTGGGCCCTTTCTCCTGTCCATTTAAACTCCTTGGTAAACCCAGACCATCTCTCAGCTTTAAAGACCATTCAATTTTGAAGTCTCCCAGATTTGTACCTCTAGCTGTGACATCTTCTCTGAACTCCAGACTCATCTTCCCAATTCCCTACTTGTAATTTCTTCTTGGAAGTCACATAGACATCTCAAAGCCAACATGTCAAAATAAAGTCATTGATTGCCCCTTCTCTCACTGCTCCGTCTGTCAGCTACTTCTCCCATAAGGTGCCTCCAGCTCATTAAATGATTCCTCCACCCACCCATTCGTTCCAACAAAAGCATAGAACTCGTCTTTGATTCCTTTCTTTACTTCCACAGTGCATCTGCAAATCTTGTTGATGCATGTCTCTAAATTACCCTAGTCTAAGCCCACGCAATACCTAGCTATTCTATGATTGCCTCCCTATAATCCATTCTTATGCCAAAGCCATTGAGGTCATTTAGAATGTAAAGCAGATGATGTCACTATTCTACTAAACCATCTTACCCCCAAAACTCATTCTCTGGTGTAGGAGAACCCAGCATGATGTGGACTTTGCCTACGTCTCCCACCTTGTCTTACACTGTGCTCCCTTCACTCTAGCATGCTAGCTTGCTTCCTGCAGTAGGGCCTTTGTGTTAACTGTGTTCTCACCCTTGAACATTCTTTCCCCGTATGTTGGATTTTCTTGTCATCCACGTGTCAGCTTAATTGTCATCTTCCAGAAGAGGCCAACCGATCCTTCCCGCACCCCCACTCCTGCCATCTCCACCTAAAAAAGATCTCCAGTTAAATTGTTTTGTTTTGTGTTCATCATGTTGTTGTTGTTAAGTGCTGTCCAGTCAGTCCTGACTCATAGCCACCTCTATAGGGTTTCCAAGGAGCGGCTGGTGGGTTTGAACTGACAACCTTGTGGTTCAAATGACCTTGTGGTCCAGTGCTTATCCTACAATGCCACACCAGGATTATGTGATTTATGTCTGCAACTGTTCTGTCCTGGTGTGGTACTCTGGGCTAATGTGCTGGACTGCAAGGTCATTTGAACCACAAGATTGGCAGTTCAAGCTCACCAGCCACTCCTCAGAAACCCTTAAAAAGGGTCGCTACGAGTCAGAACCAACTCCATGGCACATAACCACCACCACTATCCTGTTTTCTTTCTGTTTCCTCCACAGTATTTGGCTTCAAGAGAGTAGAGACTTGGCTATCTGTTCACTGCTATACCTCAATGCCTAGCACTTAATAGCTGCACAAGAAATATTGGCTAGCTCTATAAACAGAAGGAGAAAATGAATATTGTTGTTCCATATATAAAGCAAGTAGAGTAAAGCAAGTAACTAGTCCAACAGTTAGTCTCAAACCTGGCCAGGTGACTTACTGGAAGGTGAGGCTCCTGGCAAGCTGCACTCTGCGTAACTTGAGTGGCCTTTGTTGCAGAGAGGAGCAAGTACCCATGGAGCTGGTGCAGCGGGGTGATGTCATCAAGGTGGTCCCCGGGGGAAAGTTCCCAGTGGATGGGAAAATCCTGGAAGGCAATACCATGGCTGATGAGTCCCTTATCACAGGTTAGTGGCTTGTTTCACATTCCTTTAGGTGGGTGTCAAGCAGTTGTCACGTCATGCAAATGCTGAATGGGTTATGGTGGGTGACTGCTGGTCTCTGTTCTCTGCCCCTAGGAGAAGCCATGCCAGTCACTAAAAAGCCAGGAAGCGTAGTGATTGCTGGATCTATAAATGCACATGGCTCTGTGCTTGTTAATGCCACCCACGTGGGAAACGACACCACTTTGGCTCAGATTGTGAAATTGGTGGAAGAGGCCCAGATGTCTAAGGTAGTGGAGACACTTGGAAAATCAGTGTAACTTCAGCTGTCTCAACAGTCTTTGGAGTTTATTCTACAGTTCTGTCAAATCAGACAGCTTTCCTTGAGTAGAGCCTGATTAGTAGACAGTAACTGAGAGAGCTAAGAGTCCAATCCTTGCCCGTGCTTGTGCTATATTTCTTGCCAGATTGTCACCTCCCTGGTCTTGGTGTTTTATATTCACAGGCACCCATTCAGCAACTGGCTGACCGATTTAGTGGATACTTTGTCCCATTTATCATCATCATTTCAACTTTGACGTTGGTGGTATGGATTATAATCGGGTTTATCGATTTTGATGTTGTTCAGAAACACTTTCCTGTAAGTTGAATGCCTTGAGCAAGATGATTGTTGTTGTGTTTTAAGTAATTTACTGCCATTAATCCTGTTCTTTTGTTTCTCCAGTTCATTTAAGTTTTAATTGCTCCTTACATTGTGTATGTTCACTTATTGATGAGAATTGCTATTTGCATTTCCATAGGTACCAGCTGGCTCTCTTCTGTAATGCTTAAAGCATTTACAGTATGCAGAATTGGTCACTTTCAGGGTCCCATAGTACACATCATAGTCTACTATATACATCATATATAGTTTTAGTGGCATAATATTGTTTGACAGATTTTAAGAAAAATATCTCTTTTTATCTATATCTGTCCATACTATGTTCAACATCCCAGTTTTCTAAAATAGTGCTAATAGTTTTAACAATTAAATATTTATTAGCTATTATATGTGAGGCCATGGATATATACTTTTGAGTTAAAAAAATAATAATAATAAAAGGTAGGAAAAAATACTCCATCTTTACTTTCTAAAAGAAATAAGAACTAGATAGACATCATTCTCAAAGATTTTTGCCCCCAGGGTATATCTGGCAGTGCCTGGAAACATTTGTGATTGTCCTGACTGGGGAGTCTCCTGGCATCAGTTGTTGTTGTCAAGTGCTATCAAGTTGATCCTGACTCACAGCAACCCCGTATAGGGTTTCAAAGGAGCATCCGGTGAGCTTGAACTGCCGACCTTATGGTTCACACTGATCTTACAGTCCAGCACATTAACCCACAGCGTCACACCAGGACTCCCGTAGCAACAGTTGTTATTGTTAGATGCCATAGAGTCGGTACCGACTCATAGCGACCTTATGCACAGCAGAACAAAACACTGCCTGATCCTGGGTCAACCTCACTACTGTTGCCATGCTTGAGTCCACCAATGTTGCCACTTGGCTAATTCATCTCCTTGGGGGTCTTCCTCTTTTTCTCTGACCCTCCACCTTCATCAGTGGAGCTAGCTAAATACCGTACAACAAAGAGGACAGTCCCCTACCCCCAGCAAAGAGTCATCCACTCAGAGTGTCAGTAGTGTTGAAGATGAGCAACCTTGATATACATAAAAAGGTCATGGTCCATTTAAAGTCCTCTTTGATAACTGTACAGTTGGAGCAATGTCTTTTCTTACTTTACTCATACCTAGACCCATTCAATGCTTTGAGCCATACTATAAGAAACTACATACATGGGATGGATAGTTTTTCTTTATTTATATTAAATTTTTGCCCATAATTAATGGGATACCAGAACTCCTGGGATGCATATTGCTTACTAAGATGGCATTTTTCTATTTCAAATTTACTGCCTTAAAATGAAAACTATCTAAGCTTTCTAACATCAAAGGAAGGAGACCACAGTACTTTAAGAGCGAACTATGAATGTAAATTTAGAATTTGTCAGTGCTTAGTGTAATACCTAACTACCTAAAAATTCTGCTTTTTGAGGGAGAGCAGCTAATTGGCAGGTAGCTGTGAGAATATTCAGTCCTAAACAAGTTAGAGTTTGTGGCTTTCTGCTGTTTCATGCTTTCCATCTTACTCTGGTTTCTTCTGTTTTTATCTGCATTATCAGGGCGGCTGCTGGCAAACGAGGTACTACTGCATGTTCCTTTAAGATATCACTGTCATTCTGCTACATAAAAACTATTTGTAGAAACAGGGCTCATGTTCTAGAAGGCCTCCCACCCATTGTGATGGTATTTGACAGGAATTATTAGAACTATTTAAAAATCATATATAAGAAGCAGTCTATGTTCTTTTATCTAACTACAGCTATTTCTATGAAAAATGAATGAAAAAAAACCTTATTTTAGAGTTCCACATTTCAGAATTATAAAGTCCAGGCAAGAAGCTAGGGAGGTTGTGGTCCATAGACTTGGTCTAGAAGACATAACTTTTTATTGTAATTAAGCAAATATAGTATCTTTTGATTATACTCCTTAAACACCAGCCATTTTGAAAAGTAAACCAAAATGACTCAAAATCTTAGAATTCAAATAATAATACCAATATGTACCAACAGGTACCTGGAAAAGAAATCCATACTATGTGTGTTTGGGGCTTTACAAATAGAATAGTAATAAGAAATAAAGAAGGGACAATAAAGACGACTGCAAGCCCTGTCACTCGAAGAGACCTTTATTCACATTTTTGAGAACCTCTTCCAAGTCCTGTTAGAAAGCCATATATGGATATAGACCAGTAATTTTGCCACAAGTAAACACACAACACATGCCGTTTTGTTCTGGCTTTTTTATTCCACAATGTGTCTGGCACCTCTCCAGGGCAACTAGTGTAGAAATGCGTCATCATTTCAATTGTTGTCTAGTATTCCTTTTTGTACACCACACGCACAGGGCAATTAACCAATCCCCAATATGTTGTTTTCTATATTTTTTGCTATTACCCAAACAAAAAGCACACTATGTTAATATCTTCGCGTCTTTTCCCGTTTGTATGATTATTAACATAGCATAGATTCCTTGGAGACCTGTCATTTTTAAAGCTTTCATAATAGTAATAAGAATCATGATGTGATGGCCACGGTCTCTTGGATGCCTTGTTATGCCATGGACCGTACTAGGCACTTTAAATATAGTATCATTTAGTCCTTACAACAAACTGTGAAATGAGTTTTGTTATCTCTGACTTCAGTTAGATTGACAGTTTAAATTTCTGTTAGAACCAGGATATGTAGGCCACATTATATGCCTCCAGGATTTGACTTGGGGATCTGTTGGATCTGCTCTCAATCTAGAGGATCAAGTTGTAAAACTGAGGCATGGAATAGTAAAGTGAACTGTGGTAGTTCCAAAGCAGAGAAGAATGTGACCATGCTTCCTCATGAGGTCCTACTGTCCCCGTAGAAATGTTGCTATGTGTTTTGAATTCAGTGAGAGTCCTCCTGTAATGCACACCCTGACTCTTTGTCTTTTCCTTGTTTCAGAACCCCAACAAGCACGTCTCTCAGACTGAGGTGATCCTCCGGTTTGCCTTCCAGACGTCCATCACTGTGCTGTGCATTGCCTGTCCCTGCTCCCTGGGTTTGGCCACACCCACAGCCGTCATGGTGGGCACCGGGGTGGCCGCACAGAACGGCATCCTCATCAAGGGAGGCAAGCCTCTGGAAATGGCTCACAAGGTCAGCCAGTTCTGTAAACTTGTACATGATTCTATTGCTGCTGCCAGGGAATGGGCCTCATGGGAGGAGTGGAGTGTTGGGGTGGTGCTCTAGGATCAGCACTGGACTGTGAATCACAAAGTCGGCACATCACACCCTCCGGCTGCCCCTCAGAAACCCTGTACGGGGTCGCTAGGGATTGGAATCCATGCAAGGGCACTTAACAAACAACAAATGGAAGTAGTGTCTGTTTACTATTTCATATTAAGCAAACCCAAGAGAGACTTGAGAGTAGCAATGTTAATTAAGTAGAACAGGAAGCCAGAACTGACTGCGATTGACAACATATAATTAAATGTTTTGTGAATATAAATTGAGTTAATCTCATTAAGAGCTCTTTGAGGTGGTGGTGGTTGTTAAGTGCCATCTAGTTGGTTCCGACTCATAGCAGCCCAGTATAGGGTTTCCAAGGCTGTAGATCTCTGCAGGAGCAGAAAGCCTCATCTTCCTCCCATGGAGTGGTTGGTGGGCTGGAGCCACCGACCTTGTGGTTAACAGTCCTGTGCTTTTCTTACGGAGCCATGGTGCTTGTTATTCCCATTTTACAGATAAGGAAACTGCAGTAGAAAGAAGTTAAATGACTTGCCCAAAGGCCTGCAGCTCTAGTCAGTGGCCGAGCCAGGACTCTGGGTCTTTGACTCCAGGAGAAAGTGCATCTTGTGATCAGTGTGGGGGTCTGTAACCTTGGCAAGGGCAAGCATGAATAGCATCTTGTGATCAGTGTGGGGGTCTGTAACCTTGGCAAGGGCAAGCATGAATAGCACTGTGGATAAAGGGGCTTCCTTTCGCCCAGTATACTAAGCTTTGACTTTCTGTTTCTGCAATAATTGATGCCATATTTGTTAAGCATTTACTGCTTATAGGTTTTGTACTAGATTCTGGTCATAGTCATAGTTCCCTGCTCCTCTACAAACTTGCAGGTGAGTGGGAAAGACAGACGTTGAGGAAGTAAACAAAGGCAGAGTACCACAAGAGGGTGCTCCATGCTGTGAGGGCACTTGAACAGGGGCCTAACCTAGACTTGGGTGTTGGATTAAGGGCATGGTGGTGATGTGAGTGGTTAGGGAAGGAAGAGGAAAGGCGGTGCTGAGACTTAGCAGTTGAATGAGAGTTAGCAAGGCAAAGCAGGGTGGCAGTGTTCTGGCAGTGGGCCCAGCACATGGAAAGGACCCAGGAAGACAGCTCTGTAAGATCAGGGACTGCGAATGTTCTCCTCACTGAGGGAAACTGAGGAGAAATGGCCGGGTTGTTATGGGCCTTGAAGGTTTTATAAAGCATTCTGAACTAGCCCTGAGAACAGTGCGGAGCTGTAGAGGGTCGGAAGTGCTGCTTGACTGGACTAGATCACATTTTGGGAAGATCGTTCTGGCTACACACTGAAGAGCGGACTAAAAGAAGTCAAGGACTACTGGAGGAAGGCCAGGGATAGTGTTGAAGAGCCCCCCACTCAGCATCAGAAACAAAAAGTTGGTTTTATTATTTGCTATGTGTGACACTGTGGGTTAATGTACTGAACTGCAAGGTCATTTGAACCTCAGTGTCGGTGGTTCAAGCTCACCAGCCGCTCCTCGGAAACCCTATACAGGGTCACTGTGGGTCGGAACCAACTAGATGGCGCTTAACGACAACAACAACAGTGGATGTATTGAGTCTACCTAGAGTCACCTCACAAGAAAGATTTATCTACTTGGAAACTCAGCCATTGAAAACCTTAAGGAGCACAGTTCTACTCTGATACACATGGGGTCACCAAGAGTCAGAATCAGTTCGACAGCAGTTGGCTTTGCTTGTAGAATGGTTTTTGGACAAAGCAATCTGCTGATCGGACCGAGACTTCTGGAGACTGGTGGACTCTCAGAAGCTGAAGTACTTGGACTTTGTTGGCCTGTGGCCCCGAAAGTGCAGGTGCCAGAGCATGGCTGCTGCCAGTTGACTGCTTTAGTGATGGGAGGACTGGGGCAGAGCTGCCAGTGAGCATCTGGGGCTGGTGAAAACTCATTCTGGCCAACGAACAGGCTAGTCTCTTCCTTTCTTCAATGGGAGTTTGGGGACTTTGCTCTCAGGTGGGAGGACACAGTGGGTGGGCTGGGCAGCAACAGTAGATAGGAGACAAGTGGCTTCTCAGCATCTGGGGTCCTGAGGTGACTGCAGAAATGTGTGCTTTCCAGGGGACAGATATGTCCTCTCCTAAAATATGCCCCCAGTCAGGGGGCAGGCACAAGGTGGGCGATTACAGCCAGTATGCTAGGGACACAATTCATTATAGTGGGGCTTGAAAATGGATTGGTTACAGAGGGGAACTAGAAGTTATTACCTGTTTGAGGCAGGTCAGAGGACATTCTGCCTCAAGATGATGTGCACTCTGAAAATCCCTCCCATCTGTATCTTCTGTGCTAACTGCACTGTGGTTGATTTTGGCAGATAAAGACCGTGATGTTTGACAAAACAGGCACCATTACCCACGGGGTCCCCAGAGTCATGCGGTTCCTTCTACTTGTAGACATGGCTGCACTGCCGCTCAGGAAGGTTCTCGCTGTGGTGGGCACTGCAGAGGCCAGCAGCGAGCACCCCTTGGGTGTGGCAGTCACCAAGTACTGTAAAGAGGTATGTGGTACACTGCTCTGTCCCCTGGCTCATTGCGTCACTTCGTGCCTGGAGCACCTCTCCCTCCTGGACGTGTGGCCTCGAAAACCACCCATAGATTCCTCTGGGGCAGGTGCAGACTCGACCCACTGTAGGGCCCTTGTCACACGAAGTGATGCAGAAAAGCAGTTGGTGTAGCAGCATTTATCGAGCTTCAGTGAGCATCTGTGCTTGGTGCTGTGCTCGGAGCAACAAAAACAAGGAAGATGAGAACCTGCCCTCCGGAAGTCCAGTCATGTCATGTCTGTTCAGCCCTGGTCGAGGAGACATGAAAATGAAATGGTAGTATTGGGGGAGGGGGAGATCCATACAACTGGGGACAGCAGGAGTGGGATGAGCACGGGTGAGTGGAAGAGCCCCTCACTTCTCCCACCTCTCCAGATGAGAGGGCCCGTGGAGGGTTCCCGGCTTCAAATCTAATCCCCTAGGTGGAACAGGATGTACAAGCTACAGCCCTGAAGATGTTGGCATTGCCCAAGTGAATGCTGTTATCCATAAATGACATCTGGTTTTCCTCCCTTAGCATCTGCAGACCCCTCTAACTGGAGGTCTTATATGTGAGCTTCCTTTCTCCTATTAGTATCTAACTTGTCCAGTTATGAGCCATCCGCTAAGGGAGTGTTTAGGCTATTTTAGCATCTATATCAGAAGAGAGAAAAATAAAATTCTCCTTTTCTTCCCTCTCTTTTCTCATGCTTCTCTCTTACCAGCCCCCACATGCCTGTCTGTGTCCTGCCTCCCTCACTGTTGTGTGCTTCTTCACAGGAACTCGGAATAGAAACCCTAGGATACTGCATGGACTTCCAGGCAGTCCCAGGCTGTGGAATCGGTTGTAAGGTCAGCAATGTGGACAGCATCCTGACCCCGAGTGAGCGGGTTGGGCACCTGAACGGTGTTGGGAGCATGCCCACTAAGAAAGGTAATATAGGCCTTTGTCTCTGCTCCTGGTAGCTGGGCTGGTTGGGTATAGGTGGAAGTGTGCCAAACCACAGCGCCATTCAGTACGATGCCATCCATGAGCAGGTGTGCTGGCATGCCACTTGCCTGCCTCACCAAGAGACACCACTTCTCTGTGTTTGGTACATTTACACTTTGATGCTAAAGTAAAAAGTAGTATGCTACTTAAAGTCAGAGATCCAGAATCTTGGGTCTCCTCTCTCTCAGCCCAAATTCATCTGTCTTCCCATACAGTGCAGAATAGGTGGGGGGGGTTCTGTGTTTGTTCTTCACATTCCCCTCCTGGCGGGGACTCTGATGGGACATGTGTTGTGTCCAGAGCTGGCAGAAGAGCTCAGAGAGAGCCAAGAAGAAGGGAAGGTGCTTGGAGTGCTGGCTGCTTTGGAATACAGCCTTTCTTATGTAAGGATCACTCACTGACCCCATTTCTAGTAGTAAGCCTTGGTTTGGATTGGCTTATTGAAAAGCCATCCACAGCCTGCTCCCTGGTAACAGTGTAAAACCCCAGGGTAACCTTTTCCATCAGAGCTCCAGGGACTGGTCCATACAGCGAGCCTCAGTCAGCAGCACACAGGTGAGTCTTTTCCAACTCATCTGGCCATCTTCAAAGCATTTTATTTAATACAACTCATAAAAGTAGTAGCTGTTGGCAGTTGCCATCAAGTCAGTTCTAACTCAAGGCAATCTTCCGTGTGTCAGGGTAGAACAGTGCTCCATAGAGTTCTCAGTGACTGATTTCTCAGAAGTACATCATGGGGCTTTTCTTCCAAGGGGTCTCTGGTGGACTTGCACTGCCAACCTTCAGGGTAGCAGTCGAGTGCAAACTGTTTGCTCCCCAGGGACTTCTTATAAGTAAGCAGACTATCTGATTATTTGCTGGTTTACCTTGGGTCATTTATATAAGCAGTAATTAAACTAATTTTGCAATTAGCTAATTGTTTTTCCCTGCAGGAAACACTCAGCAGATGCCTTTAAAGTAATGTAAAGATACTACATTACTTTAGCATGTTTATAACATTTTTACATATATAACATGTACCTCTTAATACCCCACATGTTCTGTATGTTAATTTACTTTTTTCTTCTGGGCACTTACCATGTTATAAGGAGCCCTGATAGTGTAGCCAGGCTGCTAACCTCAAAGCCAGCAAACTGAATCTACTAGTTACGGGAGAAAGATGAAGCTTTTTCTGACCATAAATATGTACAGCCTTGGATACCCTGCAAGGGTAGTTATGAGTCTGAACTGACTCAGCAACATACAAGTACCACTATCACTGCATTGTAGTTTTTCAGAACTATAAATGCATGTTTTGCTCTCAGCAAGATTCCATGATTATTAGTTCGTCCTTGCAATAAAATGGACTTTTTTGAGAGTAACCACAATCTCTCTTGCTTTTTTTTTTAATGTTTTATTGTGAATTATGTGATAGTTTACATGGGAGAACATTATTTTTACCTTTATCCTATCGTATATCGTTTCATTGCCATAGTTACAATCTCCTCCATGCATCATTAACCAACCACCCCATTCCAAGACTAAGACTCAATGGGAATACATGCTCTAATTGGTGACCATGCTCGTCACTGATAAGGGGAAGTAAGGGAAAAATAGCAATGAAGCTGTGAGCTAAGCCTTACAATGTTCAATAGACTCCTGTGAACCCAGCTGGAGACCCGGTTGGCCAGTAATGTGGCAAGACCTGGGGACTCTTGGGCCCAGAGTCAGTGACATAGTCACAGAGGACTAGAGTGGAGAGTGAAGCGTCCAGCTGATAAAAAGAGAGGGCATATGCACAAGAACACCCACACTTGCAGATAATACCCACAATCTCTTTTGAGCAGACGCAGCCCCTGAAACCTTCTCTGTGCTGATCGGAAACCGTGAATGGATGCAGCGCAATGGGTTAACCATCTCCAGCGACGTGAGTGACGCAATGACAGACCACGAAATGAAAGGACAGACAGCAGTCTTGGTGGCTATTAATGGTATTTCTCTGCTCAGACCAATATCTGTTAATACTGGTTGTCTCTGCAGAATGTTGCCTTACCGTCCTTTCCCCTGAATTCTCAGGCCTGAAGCCCTTTCCATCTCTCTACTCTTGAAGCAACACTGCTCTGGCATTGGTCTTCCCGCTCTCAGAACTGTCGCGTCAGTCATGTTTGGCTTCTGCCCCAGCTGCAGTACAAAGTTATCCTTCTCACGTAGACTTCACACTGGTCCGTCCTGAGGGCTAGACCACTTTAAGGAGATACCCTGCACCCAAACACTGCAGGCAAACCAGGGCCCCACTTCCCATAGGGGTCACTAGAGGGTGCCCTTAAAGAATGAGACCCCATGCAACTCTTAACTGTTGGATTTGTTGTAATCGTTGATTTACACAGAGGCTCTCGGGGCTCCGGGTCTTAGTATATGGCTGTATCTTGGCCTTTACAGATATTAGAGTCTTTCCTTTGTGAAGGCTATTTTCTGCTACGAGAATTAAAATGAGATGTGGCTAAGAAACAATTTGTTGAACTAAATTTTGAATGTTGTGGCGAAGTAAGTCATCTTCTCCGGCTCCTGCACCTTGCCTTCTAAACTTTATAAACCTATTGCCTTCTCAGCTGTACACCATAGTCTACCTAATGAGAGGGAAAACAAAACCCACAGCTGTGAACTGCCCTGAGGCCCTGATGGCTGGGCATGCCGGTGACCACTCACTGTAGTACTGATCTCTCTCAGGTGTCCTCTGTGGGATGATCGCCATCGCAGACGCTGTCAAGCCAGAGGCAGTGCTGGCCGTGCACACTCTCAAGAGCATGGGTGTGGATGTAGTTTTGATCACGGGGGACAACCGGAAGACAGCCCGAGCCATTGCCACCCAGGTACAGGCGGGGGCACCACAAGCAACTTCCCTCTGTAAAATGGCCAAATGTTTCAAACTCACTGAAACAGTTAGAAAGGAAAGTGGGAACCAGGGCACCTGCTGCTCAGTTTCCTCTGACCTTTTCCTCCTCATTGGGTGGCTTTTATTTCCATGCATCCTGGTCCTCTCTGAGCCACACAACCCTCACGTGTATGGCCGAGCTGCTGCCTCACCTGCGCATATCCCTGGGAAAAGCAATGTCAACTTTCTCTAGCGTTTACCAGATTTTGAGCTGAAAAGAGAAAAAAATCAAGACTTGTGGGTTAAAATGAAAGATTTTCTCATCTCTATATTAAGAGAGGGAGGGTTTTACCAGCACATTTCTTCTGCAGTGTGTGTACCAGCTAGGTGAATGGGTCCTGGGCTGTGAGGACAGCCCCACTTCATGGCTGCGTGATTCTCTCACAGTCCTGCTCCAGTGTCTGAGTTCCTGAGCATTGTACCCTCCCCCTAAAACACCATGTGTGCAAAGCTGCGTGCTTTTCAGAAGTCATTGCTTCTTAGAGGAAAACAGCAGTACCTGTTTTACATGGCCTTTCTTATAAATGAAGGATTTGTTAACCCTTCCTGATTAGAGCATATTTACCGATCCAACAAGGCAGAGCAGCACTGCCTGGTACCAGGGCACCTCAAGGAGCAGCCCTCACCCCACCCCACCTTACTGGCATGATCAATGAAGACATCCAGGTTCCAGATGTAGAAGAGGGAGAGGGGAAGGAAAGGAAGCTCCCTGTGGTCAGGCTGAGTGGTGCTGTGCTGTGATTTCTCTGAGTGCTGTGGCTACAAAGCCAAGGGTGGGCCCTCTGGAGCCATACGGCCTGAAGTCGGACATGCGCTGAGACCTGATCAAGAGGAACTCAAAGGGCCGGCTAAAAATGTCAGAGATTATACCAAGGAAAGTGGTATCTGTTGAAGGACTTTTAATGTCTTTTAAAATATGTTGTTGTGTTGTTATGTGCCATAGAGTCGGTTCCGACTCATAGCGACCCTGTACAGGGTTTCCAAGGCTATAAATCTTCACAGGAGCAGAAAGCCTCATCTTTCTCCCACAGAACAGCTGGTAGTTTCGAACTGCTGACCTTGCGGTTCGCAGCCTGATTCATAACTGCTATGCTACCAGTATATCCAACATATATTTTGGCATTTTGGTCACTTTCAAATGGGCAGTTTATTACCAAGCAACCTTAATTACCAGGCTGTGCAATCACCATTCCAATCCATTTCAAGACCTCTGTGGAAGAAAGGTAAGAAGAGTCGCACACTGGTAATTATCATTTGGGAAACTGGCTGTGTCAGCAGTCTGAAAACAGCGTTAGGGGGCAGGTGCAGGCGTGGGATGGACTGTGAGGAGGCAGTGTGCTGACTCCAGAAAGGGGCCATTTGCAGGGCCGTTGCAATGGGAAGCAGGCCTGTACCATATGATTCACCTGGGCTGGGGAAGAGAGCAGATTGGAGTCAGTGATGCCTGGGTCTCTGGCAATGTCAGGTGTGGCAGTGTGTTTGCCGTTTGACAGCTGTTCCTTTCCTGGTAGGTTGGCATCAACAAAGTCTTTGCTGAGGTACTGCCTTCCCACAAGGTGGCCAAGGTTCAGGAACTCCAGGACAAAGGAAAGAAAGTTGCCATGGTGGGAGACGGCGTCAATGACTCTCCAGCTTTGGCCCGGGCGGACGTGGGCATTGCCATTGGGACGGGCACAGATGTGGCCATCGAGGCGGCAGATGTGGTCCTCATCAGAGTGAGTGACTACCCTGACCTCTGCCATCTGGGTGTAGGGAGGACATGGGCACAGGGTAACCACAGTGCATACTCTCTGACAGAATGACTTACTTGATGTGGTGGCTAGCATTCACCTGTCCAAGAAGACCGTCTGGAGAATACGAATCAATCTGGTCCTGGCTTTGATTTATAACATGGTTGGGATCCCCATTGCAGCAGGTAGGGGTGACTCTCACCTTGAACTCTAGCTCTCCACTTCTCTCTGTTGGGTATGTTTGGTAGCTCACCTGGCTGGCTGGCTGGGCCATCTTAGAAAGAGATGGGGTTTTTGTCATGTCCTGTGCTAAAGTCTTTGTCCCTCCCTAAAGACTGAGAAATTACTGAGGAGAGCCAAACCTTCAAATGAAAAAATCCAATTATAGAGCAGAAAATTTTAAGATTTTATAAACTTGTGCTAGTTTTTGTTTTGTTTGTTTGTTGTTGTTTTATATATATATATATATATAATGGTCTCTAATTCTGTGCTAGCCATGTTGGAGAGGCATACAGCTTCCTCTGTAAGTAGGATTAGGAACAGTTCACATTAGCCTGGCTGCTTTCCTCCATTCCCTCCTCACTGTCCCCTCTGGTCTTCTCTAGACAGCTCGGCAAAATGCTTGGCCCGTCACTGACTTGTGTCCATCTTTTCTGAACCATTCATTAAGACATGTATGTCTGTAATCTGAGCAGTTACTGGGCACCTAACATGTGCTAGGTATAGTGATGGGCATTTCAGAAGCCTTACCTTAAAAAGGAATTCTGCCCAGGTTTTTTTCTGACTCAGAAATGACCACAGAAGAAGATGGATCTTTCTGCTTTATAACTCCATCCCCACTCCACTAAATCCAGGCAGGAAAAGCCCCAGCACTGTGTAAGAGATGCTCCCACATGGACTGAGGAGGTGGGAGGTTTTTAAACCTACCTTCCACCAAGATAACCCTGACTATGTCCAATGGTTAGTGGTGACTCAGGTCACAGGGATCAGTGTGCCACCTCTGTCCTCTGGGGCAGGTTTACTTCTGCCCGGAGCCTTGTTGTTAAGTGCCATAGAGTCGGTTCCGACTCATAGTGACCCTGCATAGGGTTTCCGAGGCTGTAAATCTTCATGGGATTAGAAAGCCTCATCTTTCTCCCACGGAACAGCTGGTAGTTTCGAACTACTGACTGTGAGATTAGCAGCCCAATTCGTAACCACTACGCTGTCAGAGCTCCTGGGAGCTAATTCCCTCTAGTGTTCGTTTGCCCCTGTGCCATAGATATTTGACCATATCTCTCTAGACACGGCATTGTGAGGCCCTTGAGGTAGGATAATCTGTCAATATGTGAGTAGAGACCATCAGTGGTGTGGTAAGGACAGGGACTGCTGGTACCTCCTCTGCTTGCCCTCCTGCTCCCCACCTGCTCCTCAGAGCTCTGCCGTACACTCCGGAGACCGTGCCCCCTGTGAGGGTTTCAGGAAGACCAGGGCAGGGAGAAACCCTAAAGAGACTCAAGGCCTGCCCACAGCACCCATGCCTCTCTGCCCAGCTCTGCGATACCCTCTCCCTGCTCACGGCTCTGGGCTGCAGTGTGGAGCTGTGTTCTTGCTTCCTCGGCCAGGTGTCTTCATGCCCGTCGGCATTGTGCTGCAGCCATGGATGGGCTCAGCAGCCATGGCGGCCTCCTCCGTGTCTGTGGTGCTTTCGTCCCTGCAGCTGAAGTGGTGAGTCCCCAAGGCGCAGAAGCACATTTGTTCATGTAACTAGATGCTTGATGGAGAAAGAATGCCCAGGACACCCTTTCCCTCTGGGTTCCCCAGGCAGATTTGGGCCTGCTGAGTGGTGTCTGGGCTTAGAATAGGTGTTTGCTATGTTGCTGTCCCTGTTCCCTCACCCCAAGCGAGCCAAGTGTGTGTTCTGTAGTGATTTCCTCAGATAAACATGAGCAGATACTTCACCTCCTGATAGTCAGCCTGTGCAGGACTGCACTGGTTATTCTGCTGTCGGCCCAGGATCCCTGTGCAGTACGACTTTTCTTTTTAAATAAGACAGTGTCATGTGTTTATTCCTCTGCTTATTCATGCATTCATTTAGCAAAAATTAATGGCACTCTGCTATGAGTAAGGAGTCCTGGTGTGCCACTGCAGGACAATGCACTGGACCACAAGGTCAGTCTGAGTCACAAGATTGTTGATCCAGACTCACCAGCCGCCCCTTGGGAACCCTATACAGGGTCACTATGAGTTGGACCTGACTCTACAGCACTAAACAAAAACAACAATGGGCAAGGTATTTGGGTAGAAATTTTCCATACCGGATAAACTTAATTCAAACCATAGGCGTTTAGTATCCATTTCCTCTAAAAGTCCATGCGGTTTTGATACTGCCTATTAATGAAATATTCAGGTGAGAGGTCTTTTCCAGACTTTAAATAAAAGCCCTGTGTTCCAAGTGGCTCCAATGCTCTTGCACTCTTGTTTTGCAGCTATAAGAAGCCAAACCGCGAGTGGTATGAAGCGCAGGCCCAGGGCCACATGAAGCCCCTGACCCCTTCCCAGGTCAGTGTGCACATCGGTTTGGATGACCGGCGGCGGGACTTGTCCCGGGCCACAACGTGGGACCAGGTCAGCTATGTCAGCCAGGTGTCTCTCTCCTCGCTGACCTCAGACAGGCTGTCTCGACCCAATGCTACAGCTGATGACAGTGGGGACAAGTGGTCTCTGCTTCTAAATGACAGAGATGAGGAGCAGTACATCTGAAAGCTCCAGGGGATGCAGATCCACACAGAGCAGGACCACGCCTCCTGGGAGCAGCAGCCCCATGTCACCAAACTGAGTCTGAGAGTGCCCCCTATACCCTCCTCCCTGAATCCTCCTCAGTGACGTTGGCCTAGAGTTGTTTGAAACCTGGCCCGGACTCTAGAAGAGGAGAGGAAGTTGGCCTCCTCACAGACCTCTCATTTTAATGTATGAATGGCTCCTTGTGAAAGGAGGAAAATCTCATCAGAACCACACACTGGGCTGGGCCTTCCCATGGAACTCACAAAAACTCCACGTTCGGTTCTGCTGCTCTGTGCACATCCATTGTACATCTGAGACCACAGTTTACCTCAAGAGAACTATTGTTTTCTGCTGGCACAGTCTCTTCCTTCTCTCTCCTCTGTGTGCTTAGAGTCCAGCCCACCCCTGCCATCTTTGGGGACCAGACTAATTCTTCGAGGTCCCTGCAGCTCTCTCAGACATTTCTCCCAACTCATTCAACTTGTGCACTTTCCGCCCGAATCTGCCCACTCATTCAACTTGTGCACTTTCCACCCGAAGGCTGCCACACTTCTCTTCAAACTGAGAATTCTTTCATTCTTAAGACCCTCTTAGGAGTCCTGGCTTTCTCATCCTGGAGACTAAACAGTGCTGGTGATGACCAGCGGAGCATGAGGCTCAGGTTCACAGTCATCCTTCTGGCTAGGTGCTTTTCCCCTGCGAGCCTTCATCTCTGCAGGAGGCCTTCATGGTGCTGGAAGCAGGTGCCCTGTGGAGGAGTGCCTGGCCAGGCCCCAGGGAGCATGTTCTCAACATTGTGTTCTACATGGATGCCACCCCACAGAGTCTACTAGACAATGCTACCAGTGGTGTCCTAGAGGACATGAGGAGTAAATCATGGTTCTCCTCCATTAGCCTCTACTCCACACTTACCTTAGGAAAGAGATGGCCACAGCATCCCAAAGTGAAAATCTGTGTTTTCCAGGGCTTTGAACTGGTTCAAACTGCTTCCATCATGACTGACACAGTAAAACTGAAACAAAGCCAAATCTGTAAAATGTGAGTGTAGTGGAAGAGTAACCAGACAGGAAAAATGACAAGTTGAGGCCCTGGAATGTGAGGCTTGGAGGAGACGAAGTAAGCCTTTTTATGAGCCTGATATAGAAGATTGGCGTGGTTGGCTGCCATCTTTGATCTGGGCACCATTGTTGCCATCTCTGCCAGACAAGATATTTGCTTACTACATGTCCCACATACTACCCTGTTTCCAAAGAGGAAGATTGGGTTTCTAGCAGGCCATTTTCCAAGTTCTGGTTATCATTTTGGTGCACCCACAGTTTACAGATTCGGGTCTGTTCCATTTCACTTTGTTGGCTGTCACTGAACAAGGAAGAACTGCCTGGAAACTCTGTTTTGTTCATTCTCAGTGATTCCTTGTGGTTATGTGACATCAGAAGGGAGAGAATAGGTCACTCTTAGATTCTCAAGTTGGCTAGTAATTGACAGAACCACATGGGAGTGGGCTAGTGGAATCTGAGGTTAAATTCCAAGCAAAGGCCTGGTCACACATGAACAGTAATGTTATTTATTGAGTCTTAGTTATTTTCCAAGTGAATGTAAGTACTTTTTTATATGTTACCTCAAAACAAACCAGCAAGGTAGATATCAGCGTCCCATTTTTAAGACAAGGAAACAGATTCAGAACGGCTAAGTGTCTTGCCAGGACCTCACGGCCAGTATACATGCTGGGACAGGGATTTGAATCCACATCTGTTGACTCCAAAAGTCTTTCTCTAATTTTACTGACAGTTTTAAACTCAGTTTGCAGGATATGAATAAGCAAGGAAAGGTTCTTGTTCATGAAGAACAAAACTGGGGTGATTTATTTATTGTATTTGACCTCTAATGAAATTTCACATTCACCTCAGATTGTGAATTTTTGCATGTAATTTAATGTTTGTTGGGTTTTATCCTCTAAAATCCAAGTGCAGGGTTGTTTTTATTATTTGGGGGCTTTTTGTTTTGCTTTTTAATTGTTTTCAAGCTTCTTTTCCCTCCCACGACACACCCCAGTTGCGTCTCTCTGTTCTTTCTTATGCTTGCAGAATACTGCTTGTGTTCTGACTAGGGTAATGATTGTCTAATATAATGTTCTGATTTTTTAAAAAGCTTTTAGTACCATAAACATCATGTTTATGTGGGCATGGAAATATTTATATAATTGTAAAGAAAATAACCTTTTAAATGTTCACAGTGTAAGAATTTTTTTTTGGTAGAATAAGAACATTTCCTATTACTGCAGTATTAGAATAAATTTTCACTTTATTCACCTAAAAATCTGCTCTGGTGGTTCTGTTTGTGAGTGAGGAACCAGGGGCCCCATGCTAAATTTCAGGAAGCAGGAAGGAAAGAATTTCCACAGAGAGTGGGAGGTGCCAGAGCCATCCACAGCTCTGGTCCACCTGCTCCTGAATGAAAGAACTTTGAGAGGCAACTCTTGTTCAAAAAAAACAAGTCCACTGGGCCACACAGGTGACTGAATTACCCACTAACTGCACTTCGCCATTGCCCACAAAAGGCTGTTCTCCATCTCTGGGCTGTTTTAGTTTCTCTGGTCCTGAAGGGAGTTGTCTGGATGATGCAGATTGCTCTCAGCTACTGACGTAAACATTTGGCTGTTGGAACCCACTCAGTAGCACCACAGAAAAGCCTGGCTGTCTGATTCCGTAGATTATTGTTGTTGTTGAGTACTGCCAAGTCAGTGATGACTCAGAGTGACCCTTTTTACTATACCAGCCCTACGTAGAGATTATAGCCAAGAAAACCCTATGGACCAGTTCTACTCTGTAACACATAGGGACATCATTATTCGGAATCATTCCTGCCAGTTCCCCAATACTGTCCAACACCAAATCAGCTTCCCCACACATCAGCGTAACCTGAAAATGGAAATAAGTCAGCATGAGCTGTCTTACAGCATCTCTTTCTATGTGCAGTCCTTGCTTTTCTTCAAAGAGATGCCCTTAAGAAAAGGTTGTATGCAAATGAAACGTTTCTAATTCCTAGAAGACCTGGGGGTAGGGGGAGCAAGACAAGAGTAGGAAAGTCTGTACCACGTGTTGTGCTGAGAAAAGCTGTTTGGGCATCTTGGGATGCTAGGTGGTAGGTGGACCCTAAATTAGTTGAACCTGAAGGAGAGAACCACTTAGTCACCTAATTCAGGATACTTTTTAAGAGCAAATAGGTACTATTAATAATTGTTTTTCGGACTCATAGTGACCCTGTATAGTTTCCAAGGAGCAGCTGGTGCTAGTGGGTTTGAACTACCGATCTTGTGGTTCGTGTCCCAGTGTTGGTCCTACAGCACCGCATTCCAGGACACCTGGGACATTTGATCACCTCCTAATATGGTCATAGAGATTGTGAAGTTGTTGACAAGTCTACTTTAGACCTTTGCCCTAGTGATAGGTCCCATAGACATACTAGTGACAGAAACCTTTTCTCAAATTTTGAGGGTTGTTCCTATATCCATACCCGTACCAACACTTTCAAATACTCCAGTGGTTATATTGTAGGTCCACAACTGAATAACTAGATGGGTCTACACCATTTGCTGGTATCCACAGTCCCTCTTGCTCACCCAACCAGGACCTTCCTTGTAGTCACATGCTGTTGGGGGAAGGGAGGGTGATACCACCTCAAGAAGGGACTGTTTCTTCCAAAGGTAGATGCTTTCTAAAACTCCCTGATACGATCCCACACTCCTCAGAAAAAATCACAGCGCTTCTCAGAAGTTTTCAGTCTTTAAGAGTGTACTGATAATTGTGATGGGATTACAATTTAATAATGACTATAATAATTCTAGTTTTGTTGGGGTTTTTTGTTTTTTAGTGGTACTTGGGTTGATATGTCAGAATATTGTTAGCAGCAGTGGGGTTGGCCCCAACTCGTGGTAGCACCACACACATCAAACAAAATGCTGCCCATCTTGCATCTTCCCCATGGTCAGTTGTGGATCTGGTCGTTAGAGCGCTCACATTGGCTGAATTTTGGAAGGAGGTTGCCAGGCGTTTCTTCATAGTCTGCTTAGTCTGAAGCTCTGCTGATGAAGCCTGTTCAACATAGCAACAGACAAGCCTTTGCTGACAGTAGTGGGTAGTGGCTGGGCATGAGGCGCACTGGGGGAAATTCTACCAAGGAGCCACCACTTGTTAAGTGCTATCCAGTCGGTGCCTACTCATAACAACCCTGTATAGGGTTTCCAAGAAGACACTGGTGGGATTGGACTGCCGACCTTGCAACTCAAACCGACCTTGTGGTCGAGTGCATTTTCCTGCAGTGCCACACCAGGACTCCCTTTGTTGTTAGTGTTGTTAAGTTCCATCGAGTCGGTTCCAACTCATAGCCACCTGTATAGGGTTTCCAAGGAGCAGCTAGTAAATATGAATTGCTGTCCTTGTAATTCAAACCAGCCTTGCTCCTGTCAAAATATAGATCCCTAGTCCTGGTGTGGTGCTATAGGAAAAGCACTGGACTGCTAACTGTGAGGTGGATGGTTCAAACCCACCAGTTGCTGTCCAGGGTTGCTATGAGTCGGAACCAACTTGACAGTACTTAGCACAAACAACAAGTTATTCTAAGGAGCCCTGGTGGCACACGGGTTAAAATGCTTAGCTGTGAACCGAAAGATCAGCAAGTAGTTAGAAACCACCAACTGCTCTGAGGGAGGAAAATGCAGCAGTCTGCTTCCATAAAGGAAAACCTATGGGACAGTTTGTGTCCTATAGATTAACTATGAGTTAGATTAATCTACTGGTTTACTAAGGAACCAAAATTAATATCAATGACCTTTATTTTAAGAAAATGCAGCACATATCAAAGTCAGGTAAATATGTGAATTTTAAAAATTACTTGAATTTTTATTATTATTTTTTTGCTTAAAAACAGTGTTAATATTTCTGTAGATTTCCTAATACATATAAAACATTTCTTAAGTTAGA